CGCGAGGGAGCTGTACCCTGAAACCCCACGATAAGTGAAAAAATGCGAAGTAGGAATAGTAGTACAAATAGTAAGTAATATTTTATTTTACTATTTATATATATATATATAAATATATTTTAAATCCTTCCCACACACTTGCAATATTCTAAACAATGTTTCTAAACTCTAAATGCTCTAAAAGAGCTCAAGGCAGCTTCCTGCCTCGTCTGCCCTTTGCTGCCTGCAAGCACTCTTGGCCACGCCCACTTCTCCGCTCTGCACGGTGAACAGCTGATCAGCTGCAGCAGGAAGTTTTTCCTGCAGTGTGGGCTGCACAAAGGTGCAGCAGGTGCTAAATAATTTAAAATAATTAATCTTAAATAAAGATGTCATGCCGATCGTGCAGCTCATCCATCAATCAGCCAATTGTGTGTCATTTCCAGTCTTATTTTGAAAAACCGCGATAGAGCGAGTCCGCAATAAATGAACTGTGACGTATCGAGGCACTACTGTATTTACAGACTCAGGAAATCTTACAGACGAGCAAAAATTTGGAGTGGTAGTAGCTGAGAGTCACCCCAACACAAAATCTAAGGATTACCAATTAACGCAAGACCTTGACAGGAGAGTCTAGCCCTGGACCTAGAGGGCCACTATCCTGCATGTTTTAGAGGTTTGTCTGCTACGACACACCTGATGTAAATAGATGTGTGATTAACATGCTTCTGCAGAGCATGAGGAGGTCATTTAACCATGAATCAAATGTGTTGGAGCAGGGACAAAGTAAATCCAGCAGGATAGTGGTCCTCGAGGACCAGGATTGGACACCCCAAGTCTAGAACCTTGTCATGCAAGGTAATGGGTGACCAGCAGGGCTTAATTTGAGCCGGATTTGCTTGGAGCCCATAACTCTCAGACTTACTATTAATAAAGTTATGAACAATTTTGACTGCCTTGAACAAATAAAATCTAAATTGTTTATGTACACTGAAAATAATTACATAAACACTCATTTTAAACACAACAGCCACTTACGAGCTGCTTTATATCACATACGATCTGTCGGCTGCTTCAAGTACGCGTTTATGCTTCTACCCTTAAAAAAAATCTCCTTAAAAGGCCAAAGTCATCGTGGATGACTCAAAAATATAATTAAACAGCACATCTAAATTGCAAATCACTTTGACAGTTTAAGTGGGTTATTAATAAAATTTTGATGATCAAAAATATGAGGGAAGTGTTAGATGTGTATTATTCATATTACAGAAGTCCCTCGCTACTTCATGGTTCGACTTTCGCAAACTCGCTTTTTCGTGGTTTTTCAAAGTAAGTGTGGACATGACGCACAAATAGCTGATTGATGGATGAGCTACATGAGCGGCATGGATTGTTTATTTAAACTAATTTATTTTAAATGATTTAGCACCTGCTGCACCTTTGTGCAGCCCACAGGTGCAGGAAGAAGCTTCCTCTGCAGCCTGTCATGGTCTCCTCTCTGCCACACCCACATTTCTGCTCCGTGCTGCAGCAACTTCGTGAAGGGTTAACCCTTCGCTGTCCAGATGCACCGATTGACTTTTGTCTTCCATCTTAAAATTTAAAGCGTCACATCATAAAATCATCAAAATCACAAAATAGTGTTAAAATTTATTTAAGAATTTCTATGTTCAGTTGTTACAGTGTAACTGATCAAGAAGTTCATTTCTGCTCCGTGCTGCGTCAGCTTTGTGAAGGTTAACCCTTTGCTGTCCGGCTGCTCTTCTCTTCTGTGGATTGTTTCTTTAAAATATTACAGTATTAAATCTTAAATTGTTTATTTACACAGAAGGAGGGAGACTGGGAGTGTAACTTGAACTTGGACTACTGTATCCCTACTTCGTGGTTTTTCATTATCACGGGGGGCGTGGTTCCTTAAACCCTGTGATAAACGAGGGACTACTGTGCATCACGTATCAAAACAACGGCACTAATTTGTCAAAATAACAGCGATCAAAATGTCGAAAAGACAGTCCACATTAAGGCAGTAGCAATCGAGATCGGAGCAGGAGCGAGCGCTGGGGGTGAGTGCCGAGCTGTTTGACAAAAGCGGATCTGCTCTATTCACACAAGGAGAGCGCTGCTGTGGTTGCTCTCTAAAATAGCTCTCTAAAATAGTTATTGAATCAAGTGTTTACAAACATAGATGTTTTGACAACCTGTTAAAATGCACCAAAATGCAAGAAATGGCATCTACTTTATTCAAAATTTTATGGAGGATCCCCAAACCCCCCCCACCCCACTATTTCAGATAAAGCCATTTCACACGCGTCTTATTCCTGTTTTTGAAAATGTGAAAAAGGCAGAACATAGTTACTCCTGCCAGTGTGGAATATCATCTTTATTTGAGAATGGAATGAAATTTGATCCTCTCCAGCTCCCAGAAGAGCAGCTGAACGTCGCACCTCCCTCTCATCCATTTCAGCAGGAGAGACTTGAATGTCTGTATGTGAGAGGTCAGTCAAAGTGATTGTGAGTTCAATTTACACAAATAGGATTTTGGAATTGGTTCCGTTAGCAGCTAGACTTTTCAGGATTTCTCTCTTTAAGCACCGATCCGACGCCATTTTTTTATTGTTTAGTTGAATTTATCGGCTTCTCGTGTTTTGTTTCAATATAAGAACTAGTCTTTCCTACTTGAAAAGACCTGAAAACGACTCATTTACTTGCAGTTCAGGCAACGTGATGCAAAAGTCCACATTTAAATTCTTAGACTCCTTGCAGCGGCACTTAAAGCCGGCTGAACCGACTCCTCTAGTCGCTACCAGGAGGTACCAGGTCTCCCTGCGACCGACAAATACGATTACTGACCGAACCACTAAAACAAGGATTTTTTTTATTTAAATTCCCAGGAGGTTCTAAGGAGCCAGCCTGAATCCCATTCCCGTGGGACGTGTTCCCTGTCAACGTTCTCCGGTTTGTTCAGTTCTCTACAGTCTGCTTCTCAAAGTTCACATCAGGACAAAGTTTTAAACCTTTAATGGATGAAAGGTTTTTAAAAAGTGCTTAAAATGAACCATGTCATTTTTGTAGAAAATAATAATTTGCAGTTCCTAGGATTTTTTAAATTTTTGTATGCAAACATTTCTACACCATATTAGTTTATGTATGAGGATAAACCAGACAGAATTAAAAAAGAAGATTTTTGTGCTTTGAGATTAAAGCTGAAATGTTGAGAGAAAAAGTTAAAATACAATTCAATAATAAAGTCAGAATAATGGAAACAGAGTTTTATGGTGTACTAGAGCCACTAAGAAGATAAAAATGTTGTTTAGTTCTTGTCCTCAATGTTGAGATTAAAGTGTCAAACTTATTGGCAGGAAGTCGTCGCCTCTTAATTCAGAGGAAGTGAACCCCACTGAGCTGCGGTTTTAATATCCAAGTTATAGTGTCACTTTTATTTGATTTAACTACAAAAAAAAAGCAATATATTAGTTGAAGCAATTCAATGTGTGGTTTATTACGTGTTTTCAGTAAAAGTCAGTCAAAAAAAAGCATCACAAAGGGGAAAACAACATATAAGTTGCATTTATTATGCGTCACCGCTGACCCATCATGTTTATTATGCATTTATTTAATTGTCAAAACAGCTCCATTTTGCCTGTGCGGCGCAACGCCATCCATCCCGGCCAGAGCCGCAAGCTCTCCAGCGTTCCTCCGCCTGCACCAGCTGAGTGACGCGAGTGTGCACGGGCGGACTCGCTGTTGCAGTTCTTCGAAATTTAAAGCGTCAGTCAAAAATTGCGTTATGAATATGGAAGAAAAACAAAGTATACAAGTCGCTTCGGCGTATGAGTCGCAGGACTGACAAATCTATGCAAAACACTGTGACTTATACACCAGGAAATACGGTACTCCCGCTGCAACAGAACTTCCAAAACCTAGTTCCATCCTTCACAATGAGTCTTAAACACAAAGACGAGAGTATTAAGTTATAAATTAAGTCTTTTTATTTATTTTTTTATTTTTTATTTTTTACACAAACACAACAAAGAACAGAATCCCCTCCCACACCGGGTCAGCCACACATAAATAAATGTCTTTATACATGTATGTTCTCAACATATGACACAAAAGTCTGCCTGGTGTCCCAGAATCTTTTAACAGAACTTTGCAGGGTATAATTTTTTCCAGATGAATATTATGCATGACCTTTTATCCATTGTTCATATGCTGGGGGGTGTGGGTCCTTCCAACTGCACAAAACAAGTCTCCTGGCCAGAAGAGAGCCAGAAGCATCACATCCTTCTCGTACTTGCTGAAGGACGTATCCACATAGGCCGCCCCAAACAGGGAGATGAACGGTGATGGGTGCACAGTTCTCCACATATCCCAGAGGAGGTGTCAAAAACAGATTGCCAAAATGTCAGCAGTTTGGGACAGGTCCAGAATGTGTGCAGGAGTGTAGCTGGAGTATGTTTGCAATGATTACATGCAGGGTCCAGGTTGGCTTTGATCTGGACCAACTTGTCTTTGGACCAGTATAACCTGTGCACCACCTTGAATTGAATCACAGCGTGTCTCAGACAGATTGAAGATGAATACGCTTCAGCTGTTTAGAAAGTTTTTTTGAGGTTAGTATTTGTGTTGAACGACTGAAATAAGCTCCGAGTTCACATTCAGTGAAAATAAACTAAAAGTATCCGTATTTTGTGATCAAACCCAGTAAAAGTGTACGCATAACCTTCAGATACAACAACAACAAATGGAACAACTCTTTCATATCTCAACTGAAGTTGTTCTTAGTTTTAAATTTTGGAAATGGAAACATTAGGAGCAATAAAACATTAGGAGGAGTTATTTTATTGTGGGCTTGCTCATAAACATTAAATATATATATTATATATAAAACCAATGTACATTTTCTTCAAAAGGCCCATTAGTTTTCTGTGTATGTCTATTTTTAGCAACATGGATCAACATTGCTCATAAAGGGCATCAAGCTTTGGTCATAATGAACTGTCATTTTAATGTCTTTTTAGCAAACAGCCACACCGTGCAGGTGTGTGACATCGTCGCTGTCCACAAGACAGAAGATGAGAGTGATACCGAAACCGAGAGGCGACGGAAAAAGACGGAGCAGCACGTGTTCACAGGTACAACAGTGACACCTACGGTCTGCACAGCGTGAGGTGGGGATCAGGGTTCTACATTAAACTGCTGAGGGGACCTTTATGTCTCCAGTTCAGTTACATTTGTAGGATGTGTGCGTTCAGCTCTTCAGTTAGAAACAAACTGTATTAACGGGGAGTCCCTCGTGGTTTTAGCTCGCTGGGTCTTAATGTGCCAACAACGCTGGAGCCAGTTCTCCACTCGGACCCATCAGATTAGATCAAACAAGGTTAGGATTTTATTATTTATATTATTTAACTGATAGTTTAACGTGATGGAGCTGCAGAGGCCTGGATTTCTTGTTAGGAACGCTCTGATTATATGCAACCCGTTACACCCACCTCCGAAGCCTCTGCCAGATTAAATCTGAAGCTCCTCTATGAAAGCTTCACTTTTCCATCTGATTAGAGATGTGAGGTTGAACCATGATCCAAATCTTTTGAATGGCTCTTTAAAACAAATCAAGGGAACCAAGTCACAGATAGCTGCAGCCATTTAGTGGCAGACCCCGAGACAGTATGGCCATACTCCCATGCCTTCCACCGTGCTGCACCATCGTCCGCACCACATGACTAACTGTACTAGCTGCGTAATATCGCTAAAATTAGAAACATCTTACCTCAAAATGATGGAGAAAAACTGGTTCGTGCATTTGTCACGTCTAGACTGGACTATTGCAATGGTTTGTTCTCCGAGTGTCCAAATACTTCTTTAAAAAGTCTTCAGTTGATCCAAAATGCTAACTGGAGTTAGTGGGAGAGATCATCTCTCTCCATTTTAGCTTCTGTCAAATCCAGAATTTAACTCAAAATCTTACTTCTAACCTACAAAACCCCCAACAACCTAGCTCCATCTTATATTACCGATCTTATTGTTCCATATTTTCCCAACAGAGCACTTCGCTCTCAGACTGCATTGACCAGTTTCCAGACTGGGCTTAAGACTTTCCTTTTTGATAAATCCTTTAGTTAGGGTTGGCTTGTTATGCTGCTATAGGCTTAGACTACTAGAGGACAAATGGACCTAATTTCTTCAAGTGAATTGTTAAAATTTAATAGTTTTTATTTGATAATATTTCTATCTTAACATGTGATTCTCAACCTGCCATTGTGTATCTGTTCCTCTCAAACCCAGCCAGTCAAAGCAGATGGCCGCTTGTCCTGAGCCTGGTTCTGCTAAAGGTTTCTTCCTCATGAGGGAGTTATTCCTTGCCACCGTCTCCGTCATGCTTGCTCAAAATGAGAGCTCTGTCAAAGCCGTTATTATTTTTGTATACGAATGTTTCTGCTCAGTGCGCAGGGATGACTTCTGTTGTGACTTGGTGCTATACAAATAAACTGAATTGAACTGACTCGTTCTAAAAGGAACGGATCCTTAAGATCCAGCTCTCTTCAGAGACTCTTAGCTCCATCTGTACTTGCGCTGTAAAGAAGTGCTTAGTGGGATAATTTGACTGTGAAATGCTGACTGAGTGGATCTGCTGTCAACGTGCTTAGTGAGGGAGTTTCTGCTGCTTCATGTAAATATTTCAGGAATGTTCTTTATGAAGATCCACTTTTTGTACCGTTCTGCTTCACTTCTTCCTCATTCCCTCCATTTTGTACTCTTCTTTCATTAAAACATCTGATTGACCCACTTGGAAAAACGAGGGTTCATGTTCGGGTCTGGGCTGAACTGTAGCAAAACTCAGCTGCATGCTGGGTATTTGAGTATTTAGATAACACTGTACATCATGATATGAAAACTCGTCTCTAATCGCTGCATAAGGTGAAGGCTATATGTTTTTGGGCTTGTCTGTTAGCAAAATATCACATGAACAGCTTCACAGAAAGTAATTGCTACACGTTCCTCTACAACTGGTTAACTTTTAGAGCAAACCCAATTCAAGATGGCCACCATAGCCAGCTGAACTTCAAAACACCTATAACTTGGTCAATGTTACAGATCTTGAGGTAAAACTTGGTTTGGTAGTAGCTGAGGCTGACCTCAAACACGTAATCTGAGCGCTAACTGATTGTTAAGATCATTGTTTAAGGATGAAGAACCATCAGCTTCTGTACTACTATCTGTGTGTTAGCAAAATATCCATTGAACCACTGGACACATTTCGACGAACAGAAATATCTTACCGAATTGTGCATCTATAACTACATTTGGAGCAAACACAGTTCAAGATGGCTGCCATAGCCAACTCATCTTTAATACACAAAGATGTTTATAATTTTGTCAGTTTTCTAGATATTATGGTAAAACTTAAGAGTGGTAGTAGCTGACAGTCATTCACAACATGTACTTCAAGTGCCACTCATTGCACAAGACCTTAGCTTAAAACTCTAGCATCGACTACTGGACTCAGCCCATGTTTGTCTGTTAGCAAAATATCCCATGAACCACTGGACGGATTAAGATGAGACTCTCAGAAATTAATCATTTGATGTACATCTACAGCTCATTAACATTTGGAGAGAACCTGATTCAAGATGGCTGCCACAGCTAATAAGAATGATCAATCACAAAAATGTCTAGATCTCAAGGTTTGTAGATATTGAGTTAAGATTTGAGCCGGCACTTCTTGTAGTATCACATGACCAAATTATCTCTACCTCTGTCATTTTACATCACATGATCTTAGTTTAACACTCTGGCATGGAAGGTTTGAAAGGCTGGTTTTCATGGTGCTCTGTTGTGCTTCTTTCCAGTTTCCTTCGTGAGGAAGCTCCGCCCACACCAGAAGCAGTGCAGCGACGTCACATTTCACTGTGCCAACCAGGAGCAGTGTGAGCAGTGGGTCCGAGCCACGAACGAGCTGCTGTCATTACTCAGTATGTGCTCTCTAATAACTTCCTCCATCAGATACGGTGATGGACTTTGACCTATGAATCATAAATGATGGAACATCTATGAGCGTTCTGGACAAAACCGAGTGGCTAAGCTCCACTCAGGTCAGATGAGGACAAGAGAAAGATGATTATGCAGCATGTCAAAGATCAAAGTCTCTTACATTTGTATTGAGCTCCAGTAATCTAACTAATTGAGTTGATGACATCATATCTATGTCAATGTTACTTATCCTTAAATGTGTGAACTGCTGCAGTTAGAAGGATAAATTCACAACATCTGGAATGCAGACTTTCAGTGATTGGGTGATACGTTAGTGCTCAGGCTATGTGGTAGAGGGAACTCTCAGCTACTACCACTCCAAATTTTAGCTCAGTATATGTAAATCTGGCTGAGTTGTAGCCTTTTCTGTGCTGGCTAAGCAGTGGTTCCCAACTTGCCATGGCGGGGCACTCGTCTCCTCTGATTTTTGTCGGGGGCGGGGAGGGAGGAGGCGGAGACACGTCTGAGCTGAACGCTGTTTGTAACGAGTTATCGAGCAGGCGGGTTGGGGGCAACGTGAGGGAAGGCGCAGCGTTGCCTTTAGCTTTTTAGGTAACGTGCCTTTATTGCACACTCCTCCCCCCCACTCCCACAGAGGAAATCTGTGGACCAATCAGAGGGATCCGGCTGAATAAACACCGTCATCGTTTCAGGACTCTCGGTTTCTCTCTGGTGCTGTCCTAGGTCGATCTCGGTACCCTCGAGAGTGTTTACGGATCTCACCAGAGGGAACTGGCTGATCATACCGTTCTTATCAGAACTCTTGCAGTGCCTCTGGGAGCGTCCTTGGACACGCTCATCGCCCTTGTCGTCTCCCCTCCCCTGCGGAATGTCTGCGTCACTATGTGCTTATGTGCGGGGTGTTGTTTTTTTTTTTTTCATTTTCAGGTGATCTTTCCTCGGTCAAGGAGTGAGAGTCTTGTTAGGAAACTTGTTGTCATATTCATCACTTTTTTGTCTGTCCAAACAGTTCGGTAGGCAGGGCGCGACGGGGCGAGGTGCCCCGCTTGTACCATGGTAGGGGAAACACTGCTAAGGTCAATTAACAGTGGCAGCCATCTTGAATTATGTTGACTCCAACAATGAATGGGTTGTAACGTAATGTGTTATGTATCGTCATCATTGTATGTTCCCATACATTCGCGAAATTGGCTCTCTGCTTTTAACCCATCCGCCACCAGGTGGAGCAGTGGGCAGCTATGGAAAGTGCTCGGGGAGCAACTGGGGATAAGGTGTCCTGCTCAGAGACACCACGAGATGTGCAATGACCGGGGATCGAACTCAGGACCTTCGGGTCCCGAGTCAGCTGCCCCTACACCATCTGTAGATGTTCTTCCGGCGATTACTTATGTTCATTTCATTAAATCAGTCCAGTGGTTCAATAGATATTTTGCTAATAGACACATAAACGTATGCACACAGAAAATTACATGGTGGCACCTTTCAAACCTTCAAAATAAGACGTTAAGGACGGTTTAATCCATCTGATGTGGTCCTGCTCCTACTTTGCTTGACGATTAAGCAGCAGGAGAAAATTGGCCACATTCATTGTGAAGATGAAGTCTGTGTTTCTAATAGTCAAGTCTCCTCCAGAGAACTCCTCTACATCACCCACCGACAACCCATTTATGTACTCTAATGGAACTTTTGTCTTATTGCCAAACAATATGGAGCACTTTTTGCTCGTTTAACGTTTGATCCACTCCAATTTCTTCAGTTTGTTTTGGTCTCAAATCCAGTCTTGTACACACGCACTAAACAAGCCATTTAGTATTCTCCATTGCAGCACGCTGTAGGTTTATCACCAAATGATGCAGTGCCTCTGCGTCGCTTCATACTCCTTTCACCGTTAGCGGAGGCGCCGTTTATTCATCAAGCTGCGTGCTTGGAGTTCAGGACAGGTTGAATGTGTCTTTACTTAATGAAAACCTAATCAAGCTGTTGTCAAAGCAAAAATAAAAATAACGTTTTCTGCGACCATCATTCACTTTGCAGCCGACCGTCCAAAGAGCCTGCTGGTGTACATCAATCCATACGGAGGAAAGCAGCGTGGGGAGCGTATTTACGAGCAGAAGGTGGCTCCGGTGTTCCGGCGAGCCGGCATCTTTACGGACGTGATTGGTGGGTCCCTATCAGTGGCATTCCACAACATTTAAATAAAAAATGAGCCTCGCCAGCCGCCGTATAGATCTCTGCTGCCACCGCGGCCTCTCTGAGGGGTCGAGGAGCCTCGCAAGGATATGAATTTGCTTATGGCTGCATTAATCACTCCACCACCTTAATGAAAGCCGTGATACTTGATAGGCTCGGGTATCCAAACACATCTATTATTCAATAAGTGTTTTGCTACTGCAACACAGAGTCTGGAGTATTGATGGTCCGTCAGAGTGAGCACTATTCACTCCGGAGTTCCTATAGCTGCTTTGAATTGCAATGATTATATTTGTGCCGGCATTATAACGACTGCTAAACAGATTTACTCTTGAAATGCTGTTTTTGTTTTGTCTGTCTCAGGGTTCATTTTGTTAATTTACAGTACAATAGCTGAATTAGGCCGTTTGCGCCTCTGTGCCTTGGCGTTTTCTGAATATTAATCTGCTCAGTGGTGAACAAACATGCACAGCCTTTTCTGCGTCTTGTATATTAAAGTGCCCATAGAAGCTCACTTACAGTAGCAGTCCAAAAAAAAAAAAAAAGGTTCAGTGATTTTGTTTGCCTTTTATTGCGCTAACGCTTGCCGTTTAATTGGTTTCTGCAGTTACAGAGCGAGCTAATCATGCCAGAGACCACTTGAAAACAGAGGCCGATCTAGACAAATATGACGGGTGAGTACTTCATACAGAGAACTGCAGCTTGCAGCATTTTGCTTTAGAGTTTTGCTGACTCGTCATTTTAGGTTTTAATAAAGCTGACGCGAAGCCTTTTAAAGATCCTTTGTTCTGTAATCTGTGTAAAGTAGATTAATGATTGCTAATGATCTGCTTCTTTTCATTAAATTTATTGATTGTGATGTCTCCTCTTGATTTTTTTGTTTGTTTTTATACGCCCGTCAAAAGGTGGATGTATTGCGGTAAAGTCTACATCCGCCCGGCAACTTTCTCTTCTCTCGCCCATAACTCATATCCATTTAAGACAATTTAACAAAACTTCATAAACATCAGCAATAGATGGATTGTCACAAATACATTTCATCACCCCAGCTCTAAGGTCAAGGTCACAAATCAAGGTCAAATGTACAAGGTTGTTGCTTGTTGTCTTTAATAGTGTGAATGTTTATGAAGCATTCACAGTATTGTGATCCATTATTCTTCCGTACGTTTTCAAGCTATTTCAACAAATCATAAATCAAACCATTCAGCTCTTTCAGGACAATCCAGCTGTGACTTTTAGTATTGGTGTAACTTTAGCTTTTTGAAATATTTAGCCTTTTCTGCCATTTTTTTTCCTCATAGTAAATGAACTGAGCTCATTTTACATCCGTCAGATCTTTAGATCTGTTTACAACCTTTTGCTGCTCCTTTCACATTTTGTTCTGATTCAGCTTCTTTGTGCAACTTTTAACTTTGTTTCAGCTACTTTCAGCTGGGGTTTTTTTCAGCTGTTTTGTGCTCCTTTCCGATTCTGCTAATTACAACATTTTTGTGGTTCATCCAACTTCTTTCTTCTAATTTCAGCTTGTTATGCCCCTTTTAGTTTATTTATACTAGTTTAAGTCTTTTCTTCTATTTCAGCTTTTATATAGCTCTTCTTTTGCTAATTTTAGCATTTTCAAATAATTCCACATTTTTTGCACTCATTTCAACTTTTTTTAGTTCAATTCAGCAAAAATGTGCTCTCTCCACTTCTTTCTTGTAACTTAAGCTTCTTTCTGCCTTTTAAGCTACTTTTCAGCAGTTTTGTTGTTTTTGTTAATTTAAGCTTTTCCAGATAATTTCCACTTTTTGTGTTCATTTCAGCTTCTTTCAGCCTAATTGGACAAACATATTCTTTCTGTTTTTTTCTGCCAATTGAAACTTGTTCTACCTTTTCAGTTACTTTTTAGCATTTTTAAGCTAATTTCAGCTGTTTCAGATAAATTCAAGCTTTTCGTGGTCTTTTCTGCTACGCTCAGCCTAATTAACTTATTTGTGCTAATTTCAGCTTGTTATGCTCCTTTCAGCTTATTTAGACTAGTTTCAGCTTTTTCTGCTATTTCAGCTACTTCTTTTAGCTGTTTTGTGCTTAATTTAATTTTTTCACCTTAAATCACATTTTTTAGCTCATTTCAGCTCGTTCCACTTCCTTCTGGTAGTTTCAGCTTCTTTCTGCGTTTTCAGCTTTTTTTTTTGTTGCTAATTTTAGCTTTTTCAGCAAATTTTCCAATTTGTATGCTAATTTCTGCTTATTTAAACCTAATTCATGTGTTCTTTCTACTTTCTTCTGCCAATTTAGAATTGTTCTTCCATTTCAGCTACATTTCAGCATGTTTTTAGCTAATTTCAACTGGTTTTTCAGCAAGTTCTTCAGCAGTAAGCATTCACACTGCATTTTAGCAGGAAATGCAGTTTCTCTAGTTTACTATAGTTTGTCACCGGGCGATGCAGTACTCTTGTATCACTTACTGCTATATATTTTTTTAATTTAACCTTTATTTATACAGATTAGTCTCATTGAGTCACAAGGACTCATTTACAAGAGAGACCGGTGTAATTGTAAGCTTGCTGTATAGCTCCCTCTGCTCTCTAGCATTCTTTGCTGTAACTACAATACATTAAGAGTGACAAATCTTTGACATGCATAAAGGCTATATTTTCAGCTCAAATTGTAAATTGTTAGAGCAAAGCGAAAAGCCAAGTGAACTAAAAGGGCTCTTTTTTTTCACCTCTCTGAGTGCCTTGTTGTTTCGACTCCCATTCATCTTATATTTGTTACACCAAAAGCAGGGTTAGAGTCCATTATGCTTTTTTCCTGCAGTACATGTAATTTATAGATGCATTTCAGTGGGTTTCGAGTTAGACGCAGGAAGCTGTAATGCCTGGTGGCACAGTGTGATATTCTTATTTATTGTAGGATTTCACAGCTGCCTTGTTTCATTATTGTCAGAGTTTTTTTTTTACTATGAAGTCATTTTTTTCTTCAGGACTTTGCATCTTACTGCGAACGCACGTGTATGTAACAACACATTATGTGACAACCAGTAGAGAACTATGCTCTGAGGTAAATCAGAAAATAAACTCATGACAAATTTAAGTTGTTAATGTCCTTTCATCTCTCCAGGGTGGTCTGTGTGGGCGGAGATGGGATGTTCAGTGAGATCCTGCATGGGTTGGTTACCAGGACCCAAACGGACCACAATGTAGACCAAAACCAGACAGAAGCTGAATTGGTGCCATGTTCTTTACGCATCGGGATCATCCCTGCAGGTGGGCTTTGGCAGTTGGTTTGAATCAGCAACTTTCTTGCGGTAGGGCAACCACTACTTTGCTCTGCTGCATGCTTTAAATCAAACTTATACTGAATGGCATTGTATTGTGTTGCATCAGTTGTGCTCATATATCTTTAATGAATCTGATTGGTGGTAGTGCATCAGCCAACGACGCACAAGGACATTGATAAAGCTTAGGAAAAAAGTGGCTAAGTGTCTAGTCATGTCCATAATGTTTGTTTTGAGTCATTGTTAATGCTGATGACATTGCCACCTACTGGCATATCATTGCTATTACAGCATATTTGTTTTCCAACAAAATGCTGTAATAGCAATGATATGCCAGTAGGTGGCAATGTACACTGCATCTAATAATGTCCTACAGCGCACGCTGTAGCTGCACTCACAAAGTGACATATAGGAGGAAATATATGAAGGCAACAGACCAAGAAGTGATTTAAAGATGAAAATGTACCAGTGAGATAGTCTGCGTGAAGTTAATGGTGACCAGTTAACCAGTGAATACAGGGTGCAATGATGGGTACGGTGGTTGCAGCCAGTTATCAATTCAATTCAATTCAGTTTATTTATATAGCGCCAAATCTCAACAAAGTTGTCTCAGGGCACTTTACAGAAACATTCACATACATAAAAGCCAATTAGTAAAGTTCTCTATCTAAGGAGGCCAGCAGACAAGTTGAAATTGAAGTTGTTATGAATCTTAGCGCACCATGATAGACAGCGTCCAACATCTGCAGAGTGCTTGTAGGAGCATTCATTTAGATAATGTCACCACAGAAGGAAAGTCACAGTTACAAGGTGTTTCCTAGCATTCAGAGTTAGACAGGATCTATTTCTGAAAATGAAACCGTTTTACTTGTAGTTTCTTTACTAAGTGTTCGACATGGGGCTTAAAAGAGAGATGAGAGTCGACCAAGATACCCAACAAACTTAATAGGAAGACCGTTCGAAGATAAAAAAGAAGGAAGGACTGATGGAACATACTTCCTGTTTGAAAACAACATCCCTTTGGTTTTGTCAGCATTTAGCACCAGTTTGAGACCGAACAAATCTGACTGGATGATGTCAAAAGCAGACTGTAAAGGCTGGAAAACCTTAGCTACCGTTTTAGCTTGACAATAAACAACTGTATCATCGGGATAGAAATGTAAGGATGATCAGGGATAATCTCACTTACATTACTTATGTAGATTGTGAAGATTGTGGGTCCTAAGAATGAACCTTGTGGTACACCGTTGTTAACAGTTAGATAGCTGGAAGGAGTATCGTACCTTGCCTCCAATCTGAGAGATAATTAGAGAACCAACCAGTGTGATCTGAGAAACCAATTTCAGAGAACTTATGACATAAGATGTCATGGTCCACAGTGTCAAAAGCTTTAGACAGGTCTAAATAAAGTGCAGCACAATAATCCTTAGCATCCAATGCTTCAACAACATTGTTACAAACCATCAGCGAAGGTTTTCAAGCAGCGCAATAAATTAATGCATGTTGCTCAGAATTCACAGCAAAAATATCGTTTTGGAGCAAAGCTAAACATCACAAGCATCATTGTAGCTAAAGTGATAAAGATGATCTGACTGGCGAGACATTTTTAGGGGAAATGCAGATAAAAACTGGAGCTTCTCAGTTGAGGATTGTGGCAGTTCTCTCCTCTGAATATGCCAACAGCCTACTGAGCTTGAGTAACTGAAGGGGAATAAAACATCAAGTGTTCGAGGGCTGATCGTCATGTGCACCAGCTGTACTCTTTCAAAGAGACTTGGCTTGTTTGGGGTAGCTTTAGAAGACTAAAACTGTGGCTTAATGTCACAATTTTTACATCCAGCGGGAAAAAAGAAGCACTGCCTGGCTGTCGGCAGCAAAGTGTTTAGATGAGATTATGGAGCTCAGAGGATAGAAAGCAAAGGCCAGATAAGTGATATTCATAGAACGCTCAAGAAGGCAAAGAGGGAGCTCATCTTCTTATTCATCTGTGTGTCCGTCTTCAAATGACAGCCTGATCTCCCCTGTCACGCTTCTGTGAGCCAGCTCAAAACATTACTAGTTAGATTTCTCTCTCTTCCCTCCACTCTCACTCCGTCTTTCATCAGTGGCAGTAGCTCCATATTACCACTTGAAGATGATCAAAGTTGGGTAGATAGGTCTAAAATTACTCCGCAAGGGCGAAGAGAGAGAGATAGAGCCTTATTACCTCTCAAGTTGAAAGATTTAATATCAAACTCAACATTTCTCACAAGGCGGGAATGCTTCTTATCCTTCATTTGTTGGCTGAAGAGTGCTGATGAGAGCCCAGAGAGACAAGATTAGTTAACTTCTTGACTGCCGTCTCTCTTTACTTCTGCCTAATAAAATCATTCAGCCAAGTTGGGTGTTCTTGGTTGGAGCTTTGAAAGACATTTAATTGTGCTCATCACCAGCCTTTCATGCCACGAGTGACTACTACTTTGTGAGGAGTAGCAGAGACCTATTGTACTAGTCCTTACTGCAGTGGAACTCAAGACGTTTCTATGTATTCAACATTAGCATAGAATAAATTCAGTATATGTTTCTTTACTTTCTCTTAGTAAATTGGACCTGTAGCAAACAAAGACACTGCTGAAGTCCTACGAGGATTGCGTTATTGCATTGGGGCTTTGTGTTTGTAGCCTGGCTAGGACCTCCTATACACTTAAATAAATAAATCATCTGCATATTGAAAACTCTGTAGACTCCTCATTATACTTACTTCTACAATGGTTGCTAAACCATTCTGTAACAGCGGTATTACAAACTATGGTCACAGTGTTTTGTTTCCATATGTTACCCATGCACCCATTGACAGAAAAATTAACTAATACAAGGAAATGGACAGGACTTCATAAAGCACCGTTCTACAAAGTGTTTTAAGTTAATCCCCGTCATTCACACACACCAATATATTTGGAAAACAAACAGGCACCAAAGACAACATTTGTAACTTTTAACGTGATTATTAGAAATGTTTACTCCTTAAATGTTTAGGTTACAGGTAAGCACTAAACCAACATATATATTCTTTAGAGTGTTTACAACTACTAACGTTCAAGGGCGATCAAGAGAACGTGTTACTGACAAAACACAGGAGAACGTAGACACACCAAACCTTTTTGGTGAGCACAAGAGCATAGCATCATCAAATTTGCTGCCGTCCACCAACATTCACATTGGTTGTGTAGGTTGTGAAGAGTTTCAGCAGAGTCTTGTCATTCAGTGTAAAGAAAGCCGACCAAATGCTGCATTTTGATTCGTACCACTCCGCCTGCTGCGTCTTCCTCTCTGTACAGTCTGAACTCATGGTACAGTGGCAGAGTCAGAAAAACATACCTTTTACGTCTCACATAAGCACATTATTATGCATTGCTGATGTTCCTGCTGTGTATTTGACAGTGCTCCACGGGGAATGTAGGGTCTTAAAAATGGATTTGAAAAGCTCAATCAGCTCCTCCAGCATGTAAACAATTTGCCTGTTTTCCGGGTTAGACATCATAAACACATGTTCACAGTTGTCAGTGGTAAATGGAAATCACTCTAAACAAGCGTGAAATATTCTCAAAAGAAGGTACTAAAAGACAAGTATTGGGCCAAAACAGGTGTGGTGCCTCTCTTGTGCATTATATGTGTTGCATAATTTATTTTCCGAAGTAGCTCATGAACCGTTGGAAACATTTTAAATAAACTCTCAAAGTAATCATGTAGTGAACACCTACAATTCAACTTTTAGCGTTAACTCGACCAATCCCCTTTAATCGCCATGAAAATGGCAAAACCAAGTCCGTTCTACAGATGTTTGACTTAAGTTTGGTTTGTTAATAGATGAGACTTCCTGAACATTTACTCCAAGTACTAACAGATTATGTAGTAGATCTGTGAAATCTGAGAAATATGCATGACTAGAACAGGACAACTGTCCAAACCAGCCTGTATGGATAAAAATAATCTCATCTATAACCAAAGTGAACATTAATGTTCAGAATCATGTTGTTGGGAGTGATAGAAACTTTCATAAAACGCTAGTATTTTTTCTTTTTGCGTCTTTTGATTAATAGGGTCGACTGATTGTGTCTGCTTCGCCACTGTGGGAACAAACGATCCAGTTACTTCCGCCTTACACATCATTGTGGGTGAGTGGGAGTCCCAAATAAGAACGTGTGTTATCTGATAATATTGTGCACAAAACAAAAGAGAACCTGGAAATGATCATTATGGCTGCTGGGTTTAGATCCATCTTGGTTGCAGATTCCAATCACCAAGAGGCTGACTGTATTTCCCATTTAACAGGTGATTCCCAGCCCATGGACGTGTGTTCAGTTCACCACAATGACGTCTTCCTCAGATACTCCGTCTCTTTGCTCGGCTATGGTTTCTATGGGGATTTACAGGCAGACAGTGAGAGACGGAGATGGCTCGGACCTACCAGATACGACCTGTCAGGTATGTCAGCAATCATTTTCTACACTTGCTGAAACGATAATGTGAAGGCTAATGCACAATTTTCCTTTTTTTAGCAAGTGTTCACAACTCAGTTTCAACTTCTTCAGCAAATTTCAGCAAAGTCATTAAATTACTTCAGAAAATGCAACGTCTCTGATCGTCTTTAGAGCTTCCTGATCTCACACAGCCTTGTTTTATGACAACATAACTTTAAGTTTCCTCTGGATACAGACTTTGGAGGATTAAATATATAAATCTAACACAGCCTCTGGCCTGTAGAAGTCGGTGCTTCTGCTGCATCTTCGCTGAGACCAACGTGTTCACCCATGGAGACTACACATAAAACCTGGAACTCGTGCGATTCTAAAAAATGCAAGATATGAAATCCAACCAAATAAAACTGAGGCCAACCATACAGAGGGATTTAAAAAAAAAATTAGAGCCACACTTTAAAAGGGTAAAAAATATCAAAACCTGCGTTGTTAACTTTTCCACATAAAGACCCATTTACAAAAAACAACTGACTGAAGAGGAGCAGTATGTTTAGCAAAGTATGTGTTAGGGATCTCTATCAGCTACTAACATGCCAATATCTGTAGAAGTGACTGAGTTAGTCATTTTTCTGTTTGCTAAGGCTGATGAGCATACATACAGGTGCTGGTCATAAAATTAGAATATCATAAAAAAGTTTATTTATTTCAGTAATTCCATTCAAAAAGTGAAACTTGTATATTATATTCATTTATTACACACAGAATGATATATTTCAAATGTTTATTTATTTTAATGTCGATGATTATAACTGACAACTAATGAAAACCCCAAATTCAGTATCTCAGAAAGTTAGAATATTGTGAAAAGGTTCAATATTGAAGACACCTGGTGCCACACTCTCACCAGCTAATTAACTCAAAACATCTGCAAAGGCCTTTAAATGGTCTCAGTCTAGTTCTGTAGCTACACAATCATGAGGAAGATGCTGACTTGACAGTTGTCCAAAAGACGACCATTGACACCTGGCACAAGGAAGGCAAGACACAAAAGGTCATTGCTAAAGAGGCTGGCTGTTCACAGAGCTCTGTGTCCAAGCACATTAATAGAGAGGCGAAGGGAAGGAAAAGATGCGGTAGAAAAAATTGACAAGCAATAGGGATAACTGCACCCTGGAGAGGATGGTGAAACAAAACCCGTTCCAATGTGGGGGAGATTCACAAAGAGTGGACTGCAGCTGGAATCAGTGCTTCAAGAACCACCACGCTCAAGTGTATGCAAGACAATGGGTTCAGCTGTCACATTCCTTGTGTCAAGCCACTCTTGAACAAGAGACAGCGTCAGAAGCGTCTCACCTGGGACTGCTGCTGAGTGGTCTAAAGTTATGTTTTCTGATGAAAGTAAATTTTAATTTTTTTTTCCAGAAATCAAGGTCCCAGAGTCTCGAGGAAGAGAAGAGAGGCACAGAATCCATGTTGCTTGAGGTCCAGTGTCTAGTTTCCACAGTCAGTAATGGTTTGGGGTGCCATGTCATCTGCTGGTGTTGGTCCACTGTGTTTTCTGAGGTCCAAGGTCAACACAGCCATCTACCAGGAAGTTTTAGAGCATTTCATGCTTCCTGCTGCTGACCAACTTTATGGAGATGCAGGTTTCATTTTCCAACAGGACTTGACACCTGCACATAGTGCCAAAGCTACCAGTACCTGGTTTAAGGACCATGGTATCCCTGTTCTTAATTGGCCAGCAAACTCGCCTGACCTTAACCCCATAGAAAATCTATGGTGTATTGTGAAGAGGAAGATGTGATACACCAGACCCAACAATTCAGAAGAGCTGAAGGCCACGATCAGAGCAACCTGGGCTCTCGTAACACCTGAGCAGTGCCACAGACTGATCGACTCCACGCCACGCTGCATTGATGCAGTAATCCAGACAAAAGGAGCCCCAACTAAGTATTGATGCTGTACATGCTCATACTTTTCATGTTCATACTTTTCAGTTGGCCAACATTTCTAAAAATCCTTTTTTTAAATTGGTCTTAAGTAATATTCTAATTTTCTGAGATCCTGAATTTGGGGTTTTCATTAGTTGTCAGTTATAATCATCAACATTAAATCATCATCAATAACATTTGAAATATATCAGTCTGTGTGTAATGAATGAATATATAATACAAGTTTCACTTTTTGAACAGAATTACTGAAAATAAATCAACTTTTTCATGATATTCTAATTTTATGACCAGCACCTGTATGTATGTGCGTGTGTATATATATATATATATATATATATATATATATATATATATATATATATACACGCACACACACACACACACACATATACATATATATGTATAATTTTTTTATTTTTCCCACAGGAGTAAAAACCTTTCTGCGTCACAACTTCTATGAAGGCAGCATCTCTTTCTTCCCTGCTGAGGACAGCGCTGGACACCCAAGGGATAAGCTGCCATGTCGATTTGGGTAAATACAGCCTTGGATATTATGCCTTTCAGCAGTATTAGACAAAACTTTAACTTATCTGATGTCGTTCAATGATAGCGTTACGCTTTCCAGAGCCTAAATGGGAAGCTAAACTCGAGCACTGAAAGCCCATTTACTCTCATTTAAAAAGACTTAGTGCTGCGCTGTTTGATATTCTGTGTACAGACATCATTTACATTTGTTATGGAATCTGAAAACCATTATTCTTTAATATAATACCCTGTTTTACATAAAAAGTTACGTGAATATACTCCAAAAGATTATTTGTAGCTGCTGACACCAGCGCTAAAATGTAAATATCTGTTTAAAATTAGTCAAATATGTTTACATTTAATGACTCATAAGAGTGTGTTACAGCTGCAGTGATGGTTTTAATGATTGCAAAACAAGGTTACGCTGGTGTTTCAGGTGCCGCATCTGTCAGGACTCAAAGGATGAGCAGAACGAGATGTCAGCAGAGAAGAAAAAGTCTGGTGACGGTACGAGTTCGTTATTTTAAATATGCCTCGTTAATCACAAGCAGAAGCCTATTTCTCATTCCTCCACCTTGTTATCTGCTTGGTTCTCCATGTTGACACAACCAGTGTTAAAATGAGACAAAAAAAACCACAAAGGAAAGAAAACCCCAACTCAGGCTGGGGTTCTGCGTACGCTTGATGCCATAAAACTGGGAAGATTTGCATTTTTTCCCAATTTCTTTGGGAGAATATTAAGAAGGAGTTGGATGGAGTGTAAATAATGGAGTCATTATATCTGTCAAACGTTGTCATTTTTCACTTTGTGTTTTTTTGTCTTCCTGTAGCGTGCTGAAAATTCCTAATGAGGTATTGATGAGAGAATATGATTTCAGTGACGTATCACAGCTCTTCCTGTGTGCCCTGCTGGAGCTTGAGTGGGGATGGAGTTGTTATTTGTGTCTGTATGTGTGTGTGTTAGCAAAATATCTAATGAACCACCCATCAGAAAGTAATCATACATCTACAACTGATTTATCTTTAGAGTCAACTCTAACAAAACTCAGTTTTATATGTCGTTTTTCGGCTGTTCCCTCTTCAAGGGTCGCCACAGTAAGCCATCCACCTCCATCTCTCGCCTCTGCATCCTCTGTCCTCCAACTACCTCCATGTCCTCTCTAACTACATCCATATGTCTCCTCTTTGTCTCTTTCCTGACAGCTGCATTTCTAACATCCTTCTACCAATATACCCACTGTCCCTCCTCCGGACATGTCCAAACCATCTCAGTCTGGCCTCTATAACTTTATCTCCCAATCCTTCAACCGGTTCTGTACCTCTGATGATCTCATTCCTAATCTTCTTTTATCCATTCTTGTGACTCCTAAGGAGAATCTCATCATCTTCAGCTCTGCCTTTTCCAGTTCTGTCTCCAGTCTTTTTATGTGCCTGTCAAAGGCGGGACTTATTATGGAATACGTCTTTGCTTATCTGGACCACTGGTATAGATTGCCGTATCTAAATATTAGTTTGTAGATTGTATGTATTTTATCCTGTAACCTTTGCTATTTGGGTTCATTCATGCATTCAACTTTTATTTAAACAGATAAATCACATTGAGCCTTTAAGACTCATTTACAAGTGAGACCTGTTTGGACAAAAAAGTGGTAAACTGGACACATGTAGGAGTTGGTTCGCCTTGCTGCCGTTTTTGTGCTTTATAAATGAAGTGGTATGGTATGGAATAATTTCCATTGACATTTGTACATGCATAAACTTTCTGTTGTCCCGCCATAACATCCGAGCTGCTCAAGATAATTTAACAAAACCTGTACAAATTTGTCCCACCACTAGACATTGTCTTCTTCTTCTTCTGGACAGCGTGTCACACAAAATGTTCATTACCCCAACTTCAAGATCAAACTTTATACAAGGTCTTTGCTCATCCAGACCATTGCTACAGATCGCCATATTTCTAAATAAAAGTTTGTCGACGGGCATGTAATGTCCCGTATGCAGTACTTTTGTTGTCAGTGCCACTGTATCCAAACTAGAATCAGAATCCGAATTAGCTTTATTGTCATTGCACCGAAGCACAACAAAATTACATTTCAGTGCAGCCCGTCCGAGTAAAACAGACATGGGGGGACGGAGGTGTCCGAGGCCACGGCCCCGTGGGAGGCGCTACCTTTTTCATTTAGATAGGAAAAGAGAAATACGGGAGGAAGGGGAGATATAAAAAAAAAAAAATCATATTTCACATTGTGTCCTATATGGAACACAGTGGGAAAGTTGCCAAATAAAACCTCAGCACAGAAACAGCAACATACTGATGACATCATGATACATATATGCACTGAGGAAGGGCGACAAAGGCGGTGAGTTTGTCCGTGGACACTGCCAGATGCTTCCATAGTCCTGATAAGAGATGGCGCAGTGTCTACAAGCCGACTCAGCTCTGATACAGGTCCACAGATGTCCTCGGGAAGGGAGCGGGTAGGGGAGGGTGGGGAGCAGAGCTTCTTGTTCACCAAATATCCAGGAGTGTTTGAGATAGTTGGCCAATTCAAGGCCGACACGGTGGAGCCAGATTCAAATAACAACAGTTACTTTCAATCAGGCCGACTGCTTGATTTCTGTCTGCCTTATAATTAAAATGGTACGTCTCAATAGTGACTTCAAAGAGCCAAATTTTGTGGTCAACGCCACCGGGCCGAGCTTGTAGCTTCTCCAAGGTTGATTCTTTCTCGCCAGCGAGTTTCAGGAGCTACAAGAGGACATACAACATGTCTGGTATTACTATTCTCTTATAAACATTCCTTTGAACTTTGCTGCCACCCTTTTGTCACAAATAACTCCTTAAACTGTTCTCCATCGACTCCATCCTGCCTGGACTGTCTTCTTCACTTCTTTACCACGTTCCCCATTTTCCTGGACAGTGAACGTTAACTACTTTAACTTGGTTTCACAGATCTTGAGATGCCTTCACAACCTAAACTCTGAGCCTGAGGTTGCATGTTTGACCTAAAGGGCTCTAGCTCTCCTTTCTCATCATTAAAGAGGGTTGTAGTCTAAACTCTGGAATGTGAGGTCTTTTATTTTGCTAAATGATTTGATTCTTTCCTGCTTGATCAGGGCACCTGTTCCCCAGCAGGACCAGAATCTATCAGCCCACTCAGCCTCGATTTGAACACCACCCCTTTTTTTATACTGTCTGACCAAACACAGTTTATTATCTGCAGCGCTCACAACGGCACAAACCTCTGGTGGGAAATAAAGCACTGCCTCCTGCGTGCAGTGGAGCTTTATGTGCACAGCTGATCATCGCCGCAGTTTTTCTTCCTTTAATTAGTAAATGTGAGATTTTCCATCGTTGTCTTTCTGCAGATTCCTGTAGTGTGTGTTTGTTTTGTTTGCCTGGATAAGTGTGACTGTTTGTGTGTACTCTCTGTGACAGCCTCCCACTAATCAGGATTTTTTATTTTTATTTATTTTTTACTTCTGCCAGCTCTGTCAGGGGGTTTGCTGCCGTTTGTTTTGTGTTTTTTTATTTCCTTTTTGTTCTCCGCTGAGGGAAATCTCAGACAACTGCTAAATCAATGAGGCACGACAAACTCCCCCTCTGCAAATGAGCCAGTCTGCTCAGCGAAAAACAAATACTCGTTTGGAAACGCTCTCCTAATGCAGAGCCTGCAGCCCACAGTTGGTCGTGTTGCGTTTGGGTTGTTTTTGTCTTTTAAGGAGCTTTAATCACCGCGTCTGAATTACAATATTTGTTGTTTTTTATGTCGCCTCGGTGGGCTTGTTATATTAACCTTTAAGTTTGATTTGCAGCATCAAAGAGAACGATAATGAATCGTGTTTTGCTTCCTGAGATCTCATCATTTCCCCTCTGAGGTGCCCATAAAACACTCGGGAGCTAATGTGATCACTGTTCGCAGCTCTTTCTGCTCACTGTCGCCCTGGCAGGGGCGGAGGCGGTCCCGCGGCTCCAAGCCTTGCATCTTTGATTCACCTTCGCAAAAAGTAAACAGTCGCTAATCTCCAGAGAACAGGGCAGAGTTTTGTGACGTGCAGCTGTCACATCTGTCCACCACACGAGCTTTTATCCAAACGAGAGGACTCAGTGAGAACGCTGAGGGCTGAACAACTGACATGGGCCGAAGATGCTTAAAGTGAGTTTTTAGCATTAAAACAAGAAGAACTAAGGCTACAATCAGCCAGACAGAGGTTAAGAACAGAACACAAGCTAAAAAAAATAATTAAGAAAAAGCTAAAATATGAAGAACACAAGCTATAAAAAAAAACAAGCTAAAATGAAAGAACATGCGCTAAAATGAACATGACACAAATTAAAATGTTCAGAAAACAAGCTGAAATGAACAGAATACAAGAAGCTAAAACGAACAGAAAGCAGGCTAAAATGAACAGAATATGAGCTAAAATAAAATGCAAGCTAAAATAAAATGCAAGCTCAAATGAACAGAACACAAGAAGCTAAAATGAACAGGATATGAGCTAAAATAAAATGCAAGCTCAAATGAACAGAACACAAAGCTAAAATGAACGCAGCACAACCTAAAAATGAACAGGAAATGAGCTAAAATGTTCAAAACAAGCAAAATTGTTCAGAACACAAGCTAAAATGAACAGGAGACGAGCTAAAATAGAATAAAATCTGAAAAGAACAGAACACAAAAAGCTAAAATGAACAGAAAGCCAGCTAAAATTAACAGGATACAAGCTAAAACAAAATGCAAGCTAAAAAAGATACAAGCTAAAATGAACAGAACACAAAAAGTTAAAATGAACAGAAAACTAGCTAAAATGCACAGAACACATGCTTAAATAAACAGGATACAAGCTAAAATAAGATACAAGCTAAAATGAACAGAACACAAGAAGCTAAAATGAACAGAAAACCAGCTAAAATGAACAAAACATACACTAAAATGAACATGATACAAGCTAAACTACTCAAAACAAGCTAAAATGTTCTGACAAGTTAAAATGAACAAAAAACAAGCTAAAATAGAATAAAAGCTTTAAAGAACAGAACACAAGAATCTAAATTAATAGAAAAACAACTAAAATGTTCAAAATACTAGCTAAACAAACAGAATGTGAAGGAGCAAGGAGCAGCCTGAAAGTTAATAATAGCAGCAGAACACAAGCTGAAAGCAACAGTAGAGCAGCTAAAAGCTAAAAGCAGCAAAAGAACAGTAAAATAGCTTACAGTAGCTAAACAGTAACTAAAATGAATAGAACAGATGCTAAAATGTTATTAAAAAACAGATCTCAAAGGTAAAATTAGCAAAATAATCACTACATTTAGCTAAATTATAGTTTAAAGCTTCAAGTAGCAAAACAGTAGCTAACCGCTAAACAGCAGAACATTGTCTAAAATGACAGAACAGTAGCTAAAAGCTAAAGGTAACAAAACAAGACTAAAGTAGAGCAGGTATATTTATAGCTGATACCAAAGAGAACAATGAGAACAGAGATCTCCATGTGCTTCTATGGTGAACTTTATTTTTAAACCAAGTTAAATATCCTATTTTATTATAACAGCACTAAGTATGCACAGGTGTACGGACTCAGCATTAAAAAAAACTAAAAAGTCTTGTGTTTGTACGACGTCTATAAAAATGTGAATTATTTTGCTGCCATCTTGAATCAGGTTTAAATTCAACAATTAGTTTTTGAAAGTTTCATTAAAATCTATCCAGTTGTAAATGAGATGTTTTGCTAACAGACATACCACCTTTTAATGGGTGAACTATTAGATGAAGTGGAGTAAAATGTAAAAAATAAAAGTTTTTTATTACGGTTTGCTGCGGGAGTTTGAATGAAGCCTTATCTTGTCATTTTCTTCTGTTTTCCAGCGCAGCTTCATTTCGGCTGCGCACTTCCTGTATTTCTCTGCATCGAGTGATTCTGATGCAGCGTGAACTCAAATAAAACGTTTGGTTTGTCTCCAGCTGTGATTCGGTTTGAGCTTTTAAAAGGATTTAAGTTGACAGCAGCTGAGATCAGACAGCCAAAACGTTGAAAGGACTCGTTCAGTTAGTTTTTATTTTCAACTCTGCATTTTTGAATTAATGTGGATATAAATCATTATTCACCAACTAGAACTTTTGATAATTGTCCTCATTGTTCAATTCTTAGGAGATTTTCCAGGTGAATTTTCTACAAAAACGTTTGATTATTTTTTTTTTTTCTTTTGCTCAAGGACAAATCTGTATTCTGTGTCAAATACTGGATCTGTGCAGGAATCTACAGCTGCATTTACAGTTTATCAAAGTTATGGAACAAAGTGAAGCTTTCAGAAATGCTGCTCGTCTCTTTATACGTTTTTTTTTTTTTCTTCTAGAACTGTTCTTGTAACGTTCTGCAGTTTGAAGTGTAATTAAAGGATCAAGTCAGTAAATGCACTTTATGAAAGGCCTGTGTACTGATGTTAGAAAAGTATTAATAAAAAACAGAAAAGAGTCCTGGGGTGAAGGAAAAGGACAGAAATGTCGGAGAGGTCAACAAACGTGGGTCAAGTTCGGTCAGAGGATTTACATTCTGAGTTGGGACATAAAAACATGAAAAACATTCAAACTTAAACCAGAGGAATTGCATTTCCTGCAAAAATGCAGTGTGAATGCTTATTGCTGAAGAATTTGCTGAAAAACAGCTGAAATTAGCTAAAAAAATCATTCTGAAATGTAGCTGAAATGGAAGAACAAGCCTAAATTAGCAGAAGAAAGCAGAAAGAATACATATTTGCTGAATTAGGTTTAAATAAGGAGAAATTAGCACAGAAATTAGGAAATTAGCTAAAAAAAATTAGCAACAAATAGCTGAAAAGTAGCTGAAAAAGCACAAAGAAGCTTAAACTACCAGATGGAAGTGGAAAGAACCGAAATGAGCTATAAAAGTGGCATCAAGTGAAAAAGCCAAAATTAGCATGAAAAGAGCTGAATAGCAGCTGAAAGAGCAGAAAAATGCTGAAAAGTGCACAAGCTAATATTAGCATAAATAAGTTAATTAGTCTGAAAGTAGCTGAAATTAACAAAAAAAATTAAAAGTAGCAGAAAAGTTAGAACAAGTTTAAATTAGCAGAAGAAAGCAGATGGAACATGTTTGCCCAATTAGGCTTAAAGAAAAACAAATGAGCGCAAAAAAGTGGAAATTAACTGGAATAAAAGATTAAATTAGCACAAAAAGAAAAACAACTGAAAAAAGGCTGAAAAGGCAGAACGAAAGAAGTGTAGAGAGAACAGTTTTACTGAATTAGGCTGAAAAAATTTGACGAGTGCCAAAAATGTGAAATTAGTTGAAAAGGCTAAAATTAGCATAAAAACAGCTTAATAGCAGCTGAAAAAGCAGTGAAACTTGCAGAAATATGCTTAAAGGAGCATAACAAATTGAAATTAGCCAAAATAATCTGATAGGAGCACAAAACGGTTGAAAAAAAAAAACCAGCTGATAAAACAGCTGAAAATAGCTGGAAAAAGTTTAAATTTGCTGAAAGAAGCTGAAGCAGAACAAAATGTGAAAGGAGCAGTAAAAGGTTGTAAACTGATCTAAAGATTTGAAGGATGTAAAATGAGCTCAATTCATTTTCTATGAGAAAAAAAGTGGCAGAAAAGGCTAAATATTTCAAAAGGCTAAAGTTGCACCAATGCCAAAAGTCATGGCAGGATTGTCCTGAAGGAGCTGAACGTTTTGAAACAGCACAAAAACTGTGGAACGAGGAAGATGCCGAAAAACATACAGAAGAAGATGGAAGTCGAAACAGGATCTCAATCGTGTGAATGCTTAACAAGCATTCACACAAGAAATGAGACAATAGTTTTAGTTTACATGGTTAAATGGAAACACCTTAATTATTTTTTAAGTATGCAAGAAATAAGCAACAGGAAACCATAAACCTGCTTCATTAAAGCTAGCTTTAGGATCAAATTACGATGTTAAATGTAACATTTCATACGTGCTGAACTCTTCTCTGAAGGCCCTTCCTTACACCGAGTGTCACTTCTATATTTCAGACAGCGGCGGAGGTTGGAGGACGCTTAACGGTAAATTTATCGCCGTCAACTCGGCTAGCATGAGCTGCGCGTGTCCACGGTGTCCAAAGGGCCTGTCGCCCTCCGCCCACCTCGCCGATGGCACCACGGACCTGATCCTGGTCAGGAAGTGCTCCCGTCTGGACTTCTTTAAACACCTCCTCCGACACACCAACAAGCACGACCAGGTAGGGATGGACGCTGTGTTGGCAGATTAGTCCAAGTTGAAACTGAAGTGGGACACATGCGTTTCTCAGTTGATGATCAGTTGAACTGATGGGGTTTTCAGTCGTGAACAAGCAAACAGAAGGCTGAGTTTCTCCACCTGCTGCGCTCGCACGTAACCTCGCTGACTCAGCTCAAACTCCTGACCATGCCTCGCTTTAGTTTTAAACACTTTAGCCCTTCCCTCATGTCGTAAATAACCTCCAGCCTGATTTGGAAAGGCACCGGTCCTCTGCAAAAGGACTGTGTCACACGTCCTCGAGTGGAGAGGTCTCTGAACAAAACTCAGTATGTCATCGAACAAAGTCTTCCTACCACCACATCTTGGATCTATGGTACAGTCTATAATTCAAAAGTGTGGCTGCCCAGGTGGGCATAAGGCAAATTGGAGGTGGATACAATAGTATATAGCACCTTTCTATCTAACCAAGACACTCAAAGCGCTTTACACTACAATCTGTGTCCTCATTTATCCATTCATACAGTACTCTACTAGATCTATACAAAGATTAATCAGCACTTTATCACATTCATACACTGATGGGACACACATCAGAGGCTATGAGGGGTTCAGTGTCTTGCCCAGGGACATTTCAGCATGTAACTGCTGGTGGAATCGAACCCCCAACTCTTCCATTGGAGGACGACTGCTCTAACCACTCAGCCACAGCCGCCCAATATCATGTAGGCAGAGGTGTATAACAAAATAATGTGCATGGCCAAGAAAAGTTTTGCAAGCCGTGATCAAGAACACATGCCATCCATTCATTATCTACCACATTTTGTAGTCGGGCCATGGGGGCAGCAGCTTGAGCAAGGAGGTCCAGACTTCTCTTTCTTCTGGGGGAGCTCCAGGCCAGCTGAGAGACAAAGTCTCTTTAGCGTGTCCTGTGTCTTGGTGTAGGGGCAGGGCAGCCGACCCGAAGGTCCCGGGTTCGATCCCCGGTCCTTGCACATCTCGTGTGAGCAGGACACCTTATTCCCAGTTGCTCCCCGGGTGCTTTCAATAGCTGCCCACTGCTCCACCTGGTGGTGGATGGGTTAAATGCAGAGAGCCAATTTTGCCATTGTATGGGAACATACAATAATGAAACACAACACATTATTATTAGTAGTATTATTATTATTTCCCAGGATCTCCTTTGCCTGTTGAAAGACACATTGTGGTACGGTGTCTGTAAGCTTTCGATTGTCACGCCCGTAACTTCTGATCCACTCAAGACAATGAAACGACACAAATGCATCATAGCTGGAGTGTCACATACACTTTTAATCACAAATCTAGGTCCAATTTAAAACAAGGTCTTTGCTTGTCCGGGCCATTGCCATAGATTGCTGTATCGCTGTATAATGGTTTGTCGATGGGTGTATAATGTGCCATAAGCATTACTTGTTTTCTAAATTGGTGGTGCAGATCCGTAGAATGTGTCCACAAGGCTTTCTACACTCAGATGTAGTGAGACGGTAACTGAAAATTCATGTATTCTCTTCCAATTTTGAGTCAGCAGCTAGTGTCCAACAGCCGTAGCCCTGCGAGATACTGGCCTAAACAAGGCTTTGCACTCTTAAAAAGCTAAATCGGTTAATGGTGTTCATTTTGTCGATCCAATGATGAGCTCTCAGGCGACTTAAGAGCCCAGTGTTTGGTTAGAAGGTTCTTCAACATTCAGGATGGGTCACTCCAGGAGGCAGCTCATTTTTCTTTCAGCCCGTTATTCTGAGGCAGTGTTTGGTCAGAGTCTGACCCCTTTTTATTGGAGTTATGTTTCAAAGATGGCACTAAATGAACTTTAAAGTTTAGTCAGATCCTCACCGCTTTCAGAAACACACATGGTATAGATTAGCATATAGACTGATTGTGCTTTTTTTTTTACCACACATTCAAATATAACCTCGTGCTCCAACGTGGCTGGAGTCTGTTAATTTTGACTCGCGTCTTTAGCCGTCAGATGCCTGACGGAGAAAAATGACTATTTATTGACTATAGTGCAGTTTCTTTAATGCTAGCAGTTCACCTTTAGCTTAAAGCTGCAGTTGCTGAACTTCATGTACCACAGGAACAGCAGTCGAGCGAGCTGGGCGAGTCGATTTCGGCATCTCCGTCCAGCCGAGCGGAGAAAGCAGAGGAGAGCAGCCACTAAGCGTATTCATGGCCTTGTCAGAAAGCTTTTTAAGCAAACCGTCCAGCATGAATGCAAAGCGGCCGCAGTCATAAAGCAGACCTGATGTGAAATAAATGGCTGTCGCTCCGCTTTGAGGATGAGAAAAGACTAAAAGCAAAGGGAGGAGAAGAGGAGGGGGAAAGAATGGAGAGAAAATGGCTCCCCGTGAAGCAGGAGAAAAAAGTGCCGCAGACAGAGCCGAACCTTCCTGTGACGCTCAGAAAATGAGAGGGGGTTTTGACAAAATAATTTATTTTCATCTTCCACCCTTGTGAAGTTTACAGTTTCATGGCCCCCTGTGTCATTCGACCCCTTTTCTGCTTCTGTTGTCTGCTTCAGTGTTGCAGCCCCTGCGTGAGGCCATGCGGCTCTCTGAAGAACCAAGTTTGCGTTTACTCATTTAAAATGAGCTTCATGACTATAATTGAAACGGGAAGATATAGTTTAATAGGAGAAACTTGCAAAATTAACTCAAATGATCATGCAAATGTCAAAGAGCTGAACTTGAGCTAAGAGCAAGCAGAAATGGAAAAATATAATTCAGCCAAGATTTTCTTTTTATCAACATTAATGTGCTTTTTAGTGTTTTAAGTTAATATTAGGTTCACTTTATGTATTGATGTCATGTAACAAACATGTTTGTCAACTGATAGCTGCTGAACCACTGGATGAATTTTAATTAAACTGACAGTTGAAATCTGAATAACATCTGGAGTTAGCCCAATTCAAGATGGCCGCCACAGCTTATCAACCTTAGAAAACACAGATAAGCTATAACTCTGTCAGTTGAGTAGATATTAAGCTAAACTTTTGTGTGGTAGTAGCTAAAACTTATCACTAACATATACTCTGAGGACTAAAAGATTACAAAGAGTTCACTTGTTTAAAAATTTGGCATCCAAGGAACGCAACAATATTCAGTCAGATCATCTGGATGGTTTCTTTGTTTGTGCTGAGATGTTTCATCCTTCATCCAAAGGACTTCTTCAATCCGAGAAGCCACCAAACAAAACTGATTCCCACAAACAGCATACTCCATAGAGGAAAAAAACAGTTTGCTGGTGCTAAGATGGCCTCTGGGACCCGCCTTCTCTGGGGCACGCCCTCTCTGGGGCACGCCCTCTCTGGGGCACGCTCTCTCTGGGGCACGCCCTCTCTGGGGCACGCCCTCTCTGGGGCATGCCCTCTCCCTCCTCAGAAAGGAACGTTTTGTTCTTTTTTACTTTTAATTTATTTTCTTCAATGAAATCTTTAACATGTGTGACGACAAACTGAAATCACATTTATCCAAATAATGCAATTTTTCCCCTCAGTGCTACCCATAATGCACTGCGTGATGCAATTGCTCACACGGTATGGTCACTTTTAAAATTTCACTAAATAGGCGAAAACTTACAAATTAACAAAAAGATAACTTTCTCTTGGTCCAAAATGGAAAGATGGCAGGTAATATGTATTCCTGCAAGAAAACGTTTCTTATAAATGATCAAAAAAATCTTAAAATAAAACTAACTTCTGTAATAGTAATAGAATAGTCATAGAAAATTCTTATAATGGTCCATCTATACACGTCTCTTCTTCCATCTGTGTATTTTCCAACCTCCAGTTCGACCATCCGTTTGTGGAGGTCCACCGGGTAAGAAAGTTCAGCTTCCAGCCTCGATGCCACGACTTCACATCGCCTGAAGAACCGATCGAACACCCAAAAACAACAAGCTTCAGCTCCGCCCAAACAAGCGCCGTCAGCTGCTGGAGCTGTGATGGAGAACTCCTGCAACAGGCTGCCATTCAAGTCAGGTAGGCCTGAACCTGGTGGTCATTAAGGTACAACACAATGCATAAAACGCTTAAAAAGTAACACTGTTGGCCACTATGTAATATCTAAGATGCTCTGGTCCAAAAACCAAAATCTCAGTTTTGTCCGACTTAAAAAGCAGAAAATTTAGGGTCGTCCAGGTTTTTATGTCTTTAAGACATGCTTTTAGTTTAAGTAGCTGATTAGATTTGTTGGGGTTCATGGACAAATATAACAATGAAAATTTATCCCATGCTGTTTAATAACTTTACCTAATGGAAGCATTTATAAAGTAAAGAGTACTGATCCAAGCACTAAACCCTGAGGAACTCCATGAGTAACTTTCATGTATGAAGATTGGTTATTTACATTTACAAATTGGAATCTATCAAATAAATTTGATTTAAACCATTTTAGATCAGTTCCTATAATCCCAATATCATATCCAAACCTCTGTAGTAGAATATTGTGATCAGATGACGGTACTTGTCAAAAACTACCGGTAATCATCAAACTGAAATTTTAAAACATTTAAAACCTGGAAATCGAGTAATGGAAGAGGTTCAAGATGGCAGCCACATCCAGCTGAATTTTTAAAAAAAGACATCAAAGTGGCTTTAACCTTGTGTTACACAGCTTAAAATTGGGCGTGAGCTGAGACTGATCCAAATTGTTTAAAATCTTTAACTGTTCGGAGCTCTGTTAGCAAAATATCTCATGACGTACTGAATGGATTGAAACAAATTTATCAGGAAATCATCATTTTCTATAAGTCTATAACGATGAACTTGTAAAGTTAATCTAAGTTAAGATAGCTGCCACAGCAAACTCACCTGATAAAAACACAAATGTGGAAATATTATAGTGTTCTATGAAAGCTGTCAGACGTTTCAACACATGTTAGCCTTTTATTTTTTATACGACTGTTGAAGACAGACGTATTGTGGTGAAGTATCCATTCATCCGCCAACTTTCTCTTGTCCCGCCCATAACTTCTGCTCCGCTCAAGATAATTAAACTTCATACACATATGCATCATGGATGTATTGCATACACTTCACTCAAGCTCCAAGGTCAAGGTCACATATAAAGGTCAAAGTTAAAAGAAAGCATCTGATTGTCCAGATGATCCAATCAAGATAATGTAACAAACTTAAAAAGTCAAGGTCAAAGGTTATAAGGTCTCTGCTTGTCTGGATCATTGATTTAAATTGCTATATAGTAGTTTGTTTATGGGCAAATAATGTGTCATAGGAAGTACAGTAGTCCCTCGCTTATCTCGGGGGATCCATACCCTGAAGACCCGCAATAAGTGAAATCCCACAAAGTTGGAATAGTAGTACAAGTAGTAGTTTATTTTAGTAAATAGACATACATACACATATATACATATATATATATATATATATACATATACATATACACACACACACACACATATACATATATACATATATATATATACATACACACGGAGATATATGCACAGAGAACAGCTGATCAGCTGCAACAGGGAGCTTATTCAGTTCAATTCAATTCAAATTCAATTCAAATATAATTTATTAATCCCAAATGGAAATTATTTGTTGTTGTAACTCATTATCCTCGTTTCATTAAGAGATGTTATAGATACTGATGGCTGTAGACAGGAAGGATCTCTTGTAAAGGTCCATCCCACAGTGGATCCTAAGAAACTGGCTGCAGATGCAGTTCGATCCGTCCACCCAGCCTCAGCTGGCCTCTCAGTTCCCCCGGGCTGTAGGACCGCCCGAATCCCAGGCAGAACTCCTCCCAAAACGATGGCCACTCCTTCCAGCAGTCTGCTGAGTTCCTCGCCGCTGCGGACAGCCAACTGTAGGTGCCGAGGGACGATCCTGTCCTTCCTCTGTCATGACCCGTGTTTCCTGCTAGTTCCAGGATCTCAGTGGTCAGGCACTTGAGCACAGCTGGCAGGTAGATGAGAATGCGTCTACAGAACATCCTTTCAATTCATTTGAGATTTGGGGCTGTAGTTGAGATATTATGTGATCTTTTGAGATGTTTATCAGCTGCTGCTGGTGTTAGAAAACTGCCTTGTTGCCATGGTTATGCATCATAACAAATGTCCAAAACTAAAAAAGTTTTAGTAAAAATCCTTCCAGCTGCACAGCATCTGATACGAGAGGAACAATCATCCAAAAAAAATGTGATTTACATCCAGAAAAAGAGGAATTAAAGTTTCCAAAAGCACAATCTCAGAATGAAAGTAACAGAGCTGCTCCAACATGCGGCCACCTTGAGCGGCGCAATTCTAGAACATCCTGCAGCTCTGGGCTGCACGCAGGTGCAGCAGGTGCTAACTAATTTAAAATAATTTATTTTAAATAAAAATTCCATGCTGATCTTGCGGCTCATCCATCAATCAGCCAATTGTGTGTCATATCCAATCTTATTTTGAAAAACCGCAACAGAGCGAGTCCGCGATAAACAAACCGCAAAGTAGCAAAGGACTACTGTACACTTGTTTATTTTTTTTTTATCAGCACTGATGGTCATTCATCCTCATATGTGTAACTAATGAGAAGTTTTACACTAAAATTCAAACATAGATTGCTGACGAGGAGAACATTTCTGTATTTTTTCCCATTTCATGAGCCTTAGTTTTAACAAAGAACTGCAATCAAAAAGCATAAAGCTGGGCCAAATCACTCTCTGTACAAACAGGGACCAGAAAATGTCTTTTATTAAGGCTTATGATTTTGCAGAAGCAGTTTAAGGGAACTTTTACAGCTATTGCATCAGCGCAGTCAGATATTTACAGTGAAGACTTTCTTTTTAGGGGTGTTAAGCTGTGAACCTAAGCTGAAATTGCCCCTAAAGTTTCAAAGTCTAAGCAGAGACCGATTATATTCTGTACGCTCAACGTCTCTGAATTCACAGCTCACTGGACTTAAACTCACAGCTACGACTTTCAGTCGCTACTTTTATCTGGAGCGAAACATCTGAAGAGCTGCTGAGAGGATTGTGGTGAGATTTGTTGTCCTAAACGGATGTCTTTGGTTGTTTTGTGGTTTGGAAACTTTGAATGTGTTCTGAACTGCTGTGAAAATCTGTTCAGACATTTAAAAAGGTTTATTGAGACTTTAATGATCCATGGGTCTTTATTTTGCTTCATTGTGTATTGAAGACATTTCTAAGAGCTGCAGACGTTCGCGCACTACAATCAGTGATCCGGCAGCTACCAGGACATTGACAGTCCATGAGCACTTTTTTTTTGTCAGTACGCGAAGTTATCATATTATGTTTACCATATTTTTTTGTGTATAAGTCGCATCTTTTTTGCATAAATTAGCATGCCCTGCGACTTACAGAGCTAAATGACTTATTTATGTTTTTCCCATATTTAAAACCCAATTTTTGGCTGAGATCTGACAATTTCATTCATTCTGACATGGAAAATATTGAACACTACCATTTTTTGGCCACTAGAGGGTGGTCAAGTAATGTGGCAAGCCAAGTGTTTCATTAATAGGTAAAAGTGGCTATTAATGAGACAGTTAGCTTGCCGTACCAAGCCACCTTCATCTCACTCTGGAACTCCTGGAGCAAACGTCAAATCAGCTGCATTTTGCCGCAACACCCAGGCGAAATGCAGCTGATTTGACCATTAAAATGCATTTATTAAGGAAAAGTTCCACTGAGGCACACCTTTGCTATAATATCGAACAAACAAATGTTTTTAGGCGGTTATCTTGGTAAATTTTGAAGAAAGAAAAAATTGAAAAAAATGGTCGCCATTTGGCAGTCAATCGATTTTTGCCACAACATTGGCCCACATTTCCGGGTCATCAGTGGTGACGCTTAATAGATGCAACTTATACGGCGAATCGAGGTATTTGTTTTTTTCCCACTTTATTGGATATATTTGGACTGATGAGACTATACGGCAGCAAGAACCGTAATTTGATATAAGAATCAGTTGTAGTCAAACGTAGAAAAGAATAATAATCCCAATTAAAACAGCATTTCAGAACATTTATCAATTTGTAAACAGCTAAATTTTAGCTGAGTGGTTAGAGACATGCAAAACGACCAGAAATCTCAAATGCGAGTCAAATAGTGAATATGCTCATGTTTTTTTGAGTCATTTCAGCTAAATCTAAATGTCTGTTTGACGTCAACTTGTAGATGTCTAAGAACTTAGTTTTAGACCAGATATACCCTGATTTTAGCCTAGACGTTCATGAACAGTTTAGACAAGGGCTATTCAGCTGGAGGCCCGGAGGCCAAACAGGCCCACGAGTGAACTCGGTTCGGCCCACCAATGGGTGCATTTTTAAATAAAACTAGATTTTAAACCATAAAACAAACTTACTAAATGATGATAACTGCTGGACGTCCGGCTCCAGAGCTCTTGACTTTCAGTAACTGTGGCCCCCTGAGCAGTTTAGTGGAATAGCCCTGGTTTATACGTTTAATTTGTTTCCCACCCAATTCCAAAATGCTCTGTCACCTAACTCAAAATGTATCAAGCTTATATTATTTACCCTTTAAAAAAAAAAAAAAAAAAAAAACTTTAATTTTGAGTGGCACGGTGGCACAGTTGGTAGAGCTGTTGCCTCTCAGCCAGCAAATTGATGGTTCAAATCTCAGCCGGAGCCATTTCTGAGTGGAGTTTGCATGTTCTCTCCGTGCATGTGTGGGTTTTCTGGGTGCTTTGGTTTCCTCCCACAAACCAAAAACATACATGTTAGGCTGATTGGTAACTCTAAATTGTCCCTAGGTGTGAGTGAGAGAGTGAATGGAGACCTGTCCAATGTCCCCCGCCTCTTGCACAGTGACTACTGGGCATGGGTGCCAGTGACCCCCGTGACCCGAAAAGGAAGAAACGGGTAAAGATAATGGATGGATGGATGGATCTTTAATTCTTGTGTTAGCCCAGGTTGATAAGCTGTGGCAGCCATCTTGAATTAGGTTGACTCCAAAAGTTAATGAGTTGTAGATAAATAAATAAATAAAAATCAGTAAATTCTGTTTTGAGTAGAGATTTTTTTGCCATCTCAGATCAGGTTGAGCTTAAAAGTGAAGCCGTTGCAGCTGCCCTTACTTTCTGTAAGTTTCATGAAAATTCATTCATGGAATCAGACAAAAACTTTATGGTTCACTGTCGACTGTCAATAACGAATGGCCCTCACAAAGTTCGCTACAAATACTTGTGCCTTTCTGTAAATTTTAATAATCTCTACACTGCATTGCCAAGGTGAACTTTAGTCATTGTGAGCATTTTAGTAAACCCAACTTTAGTTTTTTTTAATATCCTAGTCTATCCTCTTCCAAAATATTTAAAAGGCAACATCTTATAGATCTGTATTAATACAACTAGGCCTGTCACGATAAATTTTACTGGGAAATGAATTGTCTCAGAAATTATTGCGATAAACGATAATATTGTTTGAAATTTTACACTAATTATTAATTATTATTATATTAAGTATTGTCAAATTTAAGAAGAAATTTTGGTTAAATTGTTTTGCGTGTAGTACTTTTTTGACCATCAGATGGCAGTATAAGACTGTTTGAACTGAAGGATGGATAGTGAGGGAGTGAGTAGCGTGTTTCTCTAAAAAAAATGGGAGGGAGGCCCCTTGACGTGACATGGGCTGTCTCTCCTTCCTTTTTTTTTTTTTGGTTTTCAAAATGGCGGACACTCTGTGTGGTTTGAGCGCTTTAGCATAGCATTTATCACACAAAGCTTTTAATTAATAAAAATCAGTAAAAATGTTCTCAGCTTCTTTTTGCAGAGAAAAACAACTTTTTACATTAAGGCACGAGTTTCAACCGTGAATTTTTGAGCTTCGACAAGACAAAAGTTTTTTCCCCCCACCAAACCCCCTTGAGGTCGGCCTGTTAGCTTAGCTCAGCTCCTCAGCTTAGCTGCTTTTAACGATCCAAAAACGTGATTTTGAACGATTAAAATAGATTTTAAAGAGAAAAGAGAAAGGGAGGAGTCAGTGAAGAGCACCGGAGTTTAGCCTTTTGTCATCCAGTGTCTTCAGTAGAAAGAGACACGAAGAAACAATAAAGCCGATAAATGAAAATGGAGGTGGATAATTTTCGTTTATTATGCGATTAATTGATTTATTGTTTATCGCAACAGACCTAAATACAACTTTACATAATATATGTTTGTTAAAGTCAAACCTCACCATTTTAAATAGTAAACGTCACTGTTTCCACTTTTCATATTCTTACATAAACCAACTGTCCTGGTCACACTTTGCATCCATCTGTGACTTTATAAATGACTGTCAAAGGAAAAGTGTAAAAAACTAAATAAGCCTTATGTCAGTTGACTATGTAAAGAAAATAAAAGGTGTGATCAGCTGTAGCTGCTTGTCAAGCAGTCTGTGTTTGGTCAGACAGAACGTGATCAGCTCTAAAAGTGTCCAACAGTCTCGCTTCAGGACAGCATTTTCACAGGTAACTGGATGGAATTAGCCTTCATTATTCTGGTTCTGTCCACGCTCCAAACCCCCTCCCCACCCCCCAGCTATCAGATCTGCCCACAGCTGGAGCAGCGCACTTGATGCATCATTTATTTCATGCTCCATTGTACTTTGCCAATGATGCATGGCGTCATAATGTTGCTAATTTAACGGCCCTCCCCGCGGTAAATGGCTACTCCCCTTTAATTAAAGCAGAAGTCCGTCCATTTATTGCCTCTTCCTCGCTGCTAATCGTTCTCAGAGCGAGCCAAGCAGAGTGTGGTTCAGATAATTAATGGCAATAGCTCAGGCGAAACAGAAAAGTAAAAAAGGGGGGAAAGATCAAGAAGAGAAAGCGAAACTCGAAGCCCGACAATGAATAACCAAAACTTTGAGTCAAATATCTTCATATATATATATATATATAT